AGAGAGAGAGAGAGAGAGAGAGAGAGAGTCAAACCAACATCAGACATTCCAACGCAAAGCAGCCGACAAGCCAACACACATTCTGGCGAGGCGGTGTTGCTCTGCGAACGCTTATTTATTAATGCCAGCCTCTCCGTCACACTCTGCAAAAATCATGGATGAACAGTTCTCTCTCTCTCTCTAATTAAAGGCTCTGCACACACGCACAAACACACACACACAGATGTTCCGCCTATTTGCTGATTACACCTCAAATTCTATCTACAAATGTTGTTCCTATTAACAGGTGCAACAAAATCAACAGTAGGGGTAAAGGAAGCGTCAATCAAGTGCAGTTTGTACCCGCCCACGTGGTCCTGAGAAGAGGTGTAATCACACAACACAAGTGGGGCTTTAAGTCCTTCAATGCTGATCATTGATTCATTGTTTAAGTTATTAATCATTAATCAACGCCTTCTCAAATATAAGGACCCGTGGCTTTAATGTGTACTGTATCATTGTGAATTTAATATTTTGGGGGTTTTAAAGTATTATTCGACAAAATAATACAATTTGAAGACATCACCAAAATAATGACGGACAATATTTTATAGATTAAGATTTTTTTTACTGGAAATAAAAATAGACAATATATAAGAAGTGGACGTAGTCATCGTGACGTCACCCATTGGTTTGTGGACTGCTGTTCTGAAGACTCGAGTTCGGCGATTTCGCCATCACCATCTTGGATTATTGCCGCCTCCATGTGGTTATTTTCATAACCATTCCGTAATGGAGGTTACCGTATTTGGAATGTGGAGGAGTGACTTAGTGACGCCGTACACGGCTCTGGTAGCGACAGCGACCTGTCAATCACAATAAGCCCGCCCTAAAGCATACCCTGCTTTATGGTCTATTTAACTCTAAATGGACCATACTTTACTAAATGAACATCATGCTGTATTAAATAAGACTTGAAACTAGAGATTGAGACCATAAAACTCATGTTTACAATGTTTACTGAGAGAATCAATTAAGAGAGAAGTAGAGTCATTTTCTCATAGACTTCTATACAATCTGACATTTTTTTGCAACCAGAGGAGTCGCCCCCTGCTGGTCAGTAGAGAGAATGCAAGTTTTTAGAAACTTCCACACACGCATAGACTGTTTTAACTGACAAATTTAGCGATGACGAAAGTAATTATGGCTGTAAGTTGCAGCCAAGGTGACAAAAAAAAAGTTTTTGTAAAGCTTCTCACTTTCATCGACTCAATCATTCACTCCTCCTCCGGTTATTGGCTCATGTGGATGCAGGAATTGGATGTAGTGTGTAGAAGGGTGTACCGATAAATCACTCTCGATGATTCAGCCGTCAAGGCTTTTATACACATACCTGGACCTCTCGGGCACATCTGCTCTTATCATCTTATACACACACACACACACACACACACACACACACACACACACACACATTTGTATTATTTATGTTGGAAAGAAAGAGGGGAAGGGTGGAAAAGAACTGAAAGACATTAGGGAGACAAACATTAAATCCCCTCCTCGGTGAAACACTTTTACAGGTAAATCTTCTGGACGCCGGGCAACAAAATCTGCTTTGTGTTATAACTCCTTTCCCTTCTGCTACCAGCAGTTAAGTCTGGTTCCTCTTATGTGGAAAATCTCCACCAATATCATTGAACAGGTGTTCAAAACAAACACGGTGAGGCGGTGACTCTTTTTTGTGGAATTCAGGCTCAACTTATTTTGAACTAAACATGCAGAAATGTGTGATACTTCCTGAGTAGCACCATAATCCGTTTAGATAGATCCACGTTTTGAGTCCGTGACGCTGCCAGCAGCACAGATCACAGTCGTCACCTGTTTATTTTGCTGCTGTCAGTCACAGATACACACAAGCATCTCTCCAACAAAAGTCTCTCCAACATTCTGGATACCAGTGAAAAGATTTAGTGTCGGCTTCTGAAAAAGCATTTCAGAATGAAATCCATCATTGTGTATTTTGTGTAAGGGTGTGTCAGCAGGTGTGTTCTGGGAAACCAAGATGTGGCTTTTTTTGTTTTAGCATTCCAGTATTTAAAGGAAAAGAAAATGAATAGAAAAAGAATTTGCAAGTTAAACTTTGACTACATTATTTAAAGAAAGTGACTGAATGGATCTTTCTACTAAATAACAGCTTCTGGTTTTGTGTTCTCAGGGATTTAAAGAAAAGGATTCGTGGGTTTGATTTTCTATCGCGTTGGGACTTTTTTTTTGTTCAGAAACTGAGCTGTAGAATGATCCTCCTTTCATTCACAGGTGGTTATATTAGAAACTATTGTACAAACACAATGATAAGCCACACGAGGTTCCCATCTGGGATTACAGATCTATTCTCTTCAGAAATGGATCTTTATTTCTTCAGAGAAAGATATTTGGGCTTTCACCCATTTATTAGATGAACCCTTAACTTTATGACACATTAAACTCACCTTCTGAGGACGAAATAGAAACTATGGACCACTTCTTTTTATTTTCTTAATAGCTAAACTTTCTGGTGTGATGTTTATGATTGAATCAAAAAGCTTTTCCCTCATTTAACACAAATGATATTATATACTATACGGACTTTAAAAACTTTTTCGACATACAATACTATAACCTTTTTATGACTTCTCAACATACGATACTATGACTTCATGACTATTCAAAATAAATGTCAGGTTTTACAGCGGTTTCTAAGGTTCCTAAGTTCAATTATTTTTTGTAACTTGACACAAAAAGATGAAACATGGCTCAGTTATCATATCACAACATGTACATGTATGTACACAATAAATAAATAAATGTTTGAGTTTACTCTTGTTCAGATTAGAGAGAGCAACACAAACTGGATTCCTGGTATACGTACTTATAGCCAATAAAACGGATTCAGGTGACCTACCGGTCACTCCCCTGCACATCCCTTCTGTTTCTTTATTTAAATACACGTGACAATTTTATATCACACTTACATTATACTTGTTTATAGTACTGTGTTTGTGCACTATATTTTATATTTTATTGTAAATTTCAACGTTTCTATTTTTCGCTTTGTTTTAATTGTTGTTGATTGTTTGTTATGCACCAGCCGCCATGTCATATTCCTTGTATGTGCAACACACTGTGGCGAATAAACGGTTCTGATTTACAATAACTTCCATTCTCATTGCCACCATGTCGCCCTCTGGTGGCGAGGTTCAGAACCTGCTGCTAGAGATCTGCCTTCACAATACTTTCATATTACATGCATTGATTCAATTTCTTTTTTTATTAAAAAGTAGACAACGATATAAAAAAAACAACAACATAAAAACCTGTTTCTGGCTCAAAGAGGACGGGATGTGGCAGATGGTAGAAGTGATTCGAGCCCTGCAATGAGCCCAGTGAAGGACCAGCACTCTGACGACAGTATAAAATGTTCCACCACGCTCGTCCTCTTCGACATCACAAACACACTGACAGTTCATACATGTATACGTGTAGATACAGTACAGAGCAGAGAATACGGGAGGAAAGGAACGAAAAGAGAGGAAACTACTTCCTGTTTCGTTCAGCTCAAGTCCAGTTGCCTCGTTCACAGATGTTCACTTGTAGAAAACGTCGAAATTTAAAAAAAAAAAAAAAAAAAAAAAGGGGAAGTTGATATGAAAGTGCCCAGCTCTACACACACGCACAGGCTCCACTTGTCAGCGCTGTAAGGCACATGAATGATGGAGGAGGATTTTAAGTTAACTCTCACAACTCCGCAGGGACTGTAAAATATAAGAAACGACTGATGGGTTCGTTTGTACTTTTGAGATTCTGTTTAAAACAATTCAAAGCTTCGTTTTCTCTTAAATCTCAGCGGGTTGCAAACTGACGACGCCCAAATCAACTTCAATTCAGTTGATAAAAGAATACTTGTTAAAATGACATTTTTCTCTTTCAAAATTCAAATACATGGCATCACTAACACAATGGGACCAAGATTACAAGTGGAAAAAAAAATAAGAAATAAGGAAAATAATATGCTATTACCAACATCTAGGTCTGCACATCTTCATGAGCACATGTAGAAAATGTTTTTGTGTTTTTTCTGTGTCCTGATACTAGTTGACCATGTTTGTAAATTCATAACAATGAGGACCATCATGTCTGGTAACCCTTTACATGACACTGTGTCTATGTTTCGGCCTCCAGCATTATTAAAGTGTGTGGAATTTGGAATCCCCCCGTCTGTTACAATATTTGAAAAACCCGCATAGAAATGGGAATACTGCTGTAATGGAGGTGTGCTCACTGACGTTATGTACAAGGTGCAAACATCCCGTTACTGTTCCGATGAGTCGAAACGAGCGTGATGTCAGCGTGAAGGGCAGCTGATTTCAGAAAGAGAACCTAAAGAGTGAAAAGAGAGGAGCTCGGGGAGTCTTTTCAGTCCTTCCAGAGACGTTTCTGGTCACTCTGCAGCGACGACGTGACACTGCGAGGAAAAGGAAGAAGCTCCGCTCCTTCCGTCCCCGAGTGTCAAATTTCCACGTCGCTCTCTTTGTCGTTGTCGTGGTCGCCGTCGTAGAACTCGTTGGCTGCCTCCGGCCTGAATGAAAACAGTTGGGGAAATTATTGTAGTCAAATTGATTTTTCAATGGAACATGCGCTAGCACTCGTCTCAGCCCCGTTGAAGGAGCACCGACCTGGTGTAGTTCTCCTCGCCCCCCCTCTCGTCGGGGTCGGGCTCGTCGGTGCGCTCGTAGCTCAGCATGTCGGAGGGAACGTCGTGGATCTGGACGCTGGGCGCGTGGTTCAGCATCTTCAGGTTCTCGAACACTGTCTGACGGATCTGCTCCAAGTACTGCGGCAAAACATTTACATTTATTATCTTTATGCAACTTGTCAAAGCGCCCGGAGACGCATCTGGACAAGGACTACGCTTTAGTGCGGGACTATGTCTCACCGGTCTGGAGTTCTGGTTTTCTATCCGGGTGCTCACATCGGGATGCAGCGTGAAGTCTGGAGCAAAGTACTCAAAGTACTCTGAAGTGGACAGAAACAAGAGGAGGAGGAGGGACAGAAGTCAGGGAGGGAAAATGAGTTCCATTGAATTCTCACTAAAAAGCATCTTCTCAGAGATCTAAAAAAATAAATGTCAAGGTTGAAAACGCTCAACGATGATCTTCTACTCCACAAAAACACAACAGGACTCTGATGCTGAAGCCAAAGACACTGAAGTGCATTGTAGGTGAATACTCCTGATAACTGAACTCTTACAGTTTAGCATGTTAAAGCACAACTCACCGCTATAAGGCAGCTCATCGCTGATGGACTCATCCAGTAGCAGAGACGTCTCAAAGGTCCTACAGGCACAACAGAACAAGACCCTTTAAACAACGAAGCCCATCTCATGACTAAACTCAGAATATAAACCCTCCATGTTTAGCGCAGAACACTTACCAGCAGCGAGCCACGTTCCTCACGGTGTAGCCTCCTCCTCCCAGGACCAACAGAGGAATCTTGAAGCTCTTTACAAACTCCACACATTCGCTGACCGACGGAGAGCAAAGCACACACGTTAACACGCATATGAGCCCATCGTTACCGCTACGCTACACTCTAAACGTGACCTAAATGGAATGTGATGGCGCTGTGTATACACTCTAAATAATGGTGTGGAAATGAGTCAGTATTTACAAAGACAACACGTTTCATATGACATAGAATGGCGTATTGAACACAAGTCAGTCTCACCCATGTCCTCGTATGCTGAGGTTGAAGCAGCCCAGCCGGTCGCAGCCCAGAGAATCTGCGCCGCACTGGAAGGAGAAGCACACACAGGCTTCATATAGGTCGCTCCTCCTACGGTCACATGCAGTCTTAACGTCTGATAACGGGACGGGTTCAATTCATATGTCATCTTCTAAAATGATCCACAACGCACTGAGACGAGATGACAACAGTGCCGGACTGACCTGTAGAACCATGCAGGTCGGCTGGTAGAAATCCACCACCTGCTTGATGACCGGCTGGAACAGCTGCCGGTAGCCTGAAACAAACACACACACATACAGATGTTGGCTGTTGAAGTTCACAGCAGTATGAATCTGCAGAGCTCTGTGTGTTATTTTAGACGATAGGTGTTACGTTTCAATAATGAAGTGAACTCACTCTGGTCGTCGATGCCGTCTCTGAGAGGAACGTTGAGGCAGTAGTACCGACCGCTCTCTGCTCCCACCTCATACATGTCACCTGCAGCCAACACACACACACAGTATTAATACACACCTATACAGAGACAACACAGTAACATAATGTAAATGGGGGAATTTTTGACGTTTGACGACAGACTTTACTGTGTGACTTATCTATGGGGTATTGCATTTAACGCCAGGATTCCTGCATATTGAAGCCGCTCAGATTACATCGTTTGTCTTATTAAAACGTGCACATTAAATATGTCCCTACTGCATAGTTATCCATTCATTTTCTTAGCGGTACATGTCCTACATTAAAAAAAAAAAAAAAAAAAGAACGTCCGAACAAATCAGTCATTTGTCTTTGCAGTGATTACAAACTGAAGTAAATGACATGATGAGTGCACAAATGTCCAGGCTGTACTCTACACACTGAAAACATTCCAACGACACATTGTGAGTCGAGTGTTTAATGCGGCTCGTACCCGTTCCCGGGAAAAAGTAGTTCCCGTATTTGTGGAAGGACACAGTCATGACGCGGTCGGTCAGGTAAAAGGCCTCCTGTACGCCGTCGCCATGGTGAATGTCTATGTCAATGTACAGAACCCTAGGGTGGTACCTGTAACACACACACACACACACACACACACACACACACACACACACACACACACACACACACACAGTTATTAAGAGAGAAACACACACAGCAAACACTTGATGAAAGTTCTTCAGAGTGTCTGCTCTTACTTGAGTAGCTCCAGAATACTGATGACGATGTCATTGACGTAACAGAACCCAGACGCCTGCAAAACACAGAAAAAGCCATTTTCGTCCTTTAAGCAGTCACAGCTGATCATATGGGGCTCGGCAGAAAGGAATGAAAACTATAGACGGCACTTTCTTCTGACCTCAAACTTCTTGGCGTGATGCAAACCTCCGGCCCAGTTGATGGCGATGTCACAGATCTGGAAAAACAAAGTAGAAAGTCAAATTAAAAGGTTACAGCTACCAGCAGTGCTGCGGCCGTTTCAGTTCAACAAAGAGTGATGTCCAGAGATTGAGGCATCATCTGCTCCACACATGTTCATCTCTAATTCATGCTCAGCAGCAGGGCAGGAAGTTACCATGGCAGCAGAAATAACACAGAAACTCTTCTAAATCCATGGGATGTGATGCTTGTGACAGGGGAGCTAATTAAATGGCACGGACTGCTGGTTTCCACTGACTTCGGTCGTGCGTTAGCGTGCGTGTCTCACCTTGTGGTTGAGCTGTGTGGCTCCCTGTAAGGAGGCTCCTGTGTATCTGGAGCAAAACTCAAAAAGACCTGGAAACACGGGGCTGAAAACACAAAATATTTGAGTTACGGGTTAGTTAGTTAGTCCGTCCTCTAATAACAGTTATATAGATGACCTGGTATTTGATGACTGTGAATCGATGGGGATTTCGAATGCTATGACAATAAATTGCAATAGTGTAAAAAAAAAAAATCATTAACAATTTTAGGGCCTTAATTACTTTCCAAAACAAAGCGTTTCTTGGAAAGAAGAGTAAAACTCACCAGTCGTCTCCCACATTGAACGTGTTGAGGCTCTTGGTGAAGCCCTGCATGTTGTTGGGGCTGACCTTCTGCAGGAAGTCTATGTAGTCTTCAGAGTGGAACCGACACATGTCGTGCTGAGACGCTTTGTATGGCTTGAACACCTAATGAAAACAGACAAGTTAGAAAAAAGTACAGTATGAAATTCCGTGTTAGTATACACTCCTGATTTTGGTGTTTTAGCAGATGTTATTTCAGCGATAGAAGCATCCGCAGGGTCTCAGTCTGTGACAGCGATCTCGCCGTGCTGCTCACCATCATCTTCTTGTACAGTCCATAGTGCAACACCAGACTGTGAGTCAGAGACAAACGGTGAGGCTTCATGGGGTGACCAGCACCTGGCAGAGACGGACAGATTCCACATTATAGCACAGATATCTGAACCGAATACGGAATGACTGAGTTTAAGATCGGGTTTCCAGAATCTCTCCCATTCAGTGATTTAAAAAAAATAATAAGTATACAATATATAATCTCTTGTACAATACAGAAACAGAAAGATAAGTCTATAAGAGCGACTACCATGACGCCCAATATTGAAATAATTCATCTGGATTATATAACACAGCACACAGGGGCAAATGCATTAATATAGTAAAATCACTGCTGAAAGGACTTTTTTGTTATTACACTAACAACAAATACTAAAACACAGAATTACTACATTTCAAACTATTGTTTTATGGAAAGTGTGCAGCTATACACGTAAAGACTCTTTAAATAAAATCAATATGAAGCGAATAATAACCTCACAACATGGATCATGTGTGTCCATGCTCTTTCCACATTGTAAACATTCTTCCGCTCTGAAGTTTTGTATATTTCTATCCTGAGAGCCTTTAAGTTTCAAGTTTCAACGCGAGTTACGGTGCATTGGATTACTGTCGTAAATAATAAACGGTGAACATATTAGCATATTACTAACATATTACCCTTTAAATAATAAAGGGTCCGATATTATTTCACTTCAACTGTACATACGATGGCTTTTTCACAAGCAAATCTGCATTTACGATAAACTACCCATTTTAAAGCGTTAAAGTTACTGTAGGAACTACCGAGACGTCTCAGGCTGACATCTGCATCGATAGAGTGACACATGATGGAAGATTTAAATAAATGACAACTTGTAACCTGACGTTAGCTAGCTTAGCAAAGCAGACGTTATGGCATTTGCACAATACGTCGTCGACGTTATGAAACTGTGCTGTAGCGAACACCTGCACAACAGACCTCCCAATGCACAGAGAGAGCGTGAAATGCTCCAAAAAAAAAAAAGAAACAAAGTGGCGTCCCTGAAGTTATTAGCATGTAGCTAGCTTGCTCCAGCACCATCCCCCTTCGCAGGCCTGTTCACTACGATAACCCAACTCACCATAATGAAAGTTGCCCACGTCTGGGTCGTAAAAATAAGAGGTTCTATTGTTCATTGTGAAAGAAGTATCTTCTGACTTGTTTCAGCAAAACTACGACTGTTCCTTGCAACTACGTATATAAATCACACATTTTCTTTCAATTAGCAGAACGCCGCCATTGTAAACACCGACTCGTTTACGTCATCAGACGGGGACCGTAATGACGGAGAGGGGAGGAGGCGGAAAGGAGGAGGTGGCTGAAAACTAAAAGTTACGTTTTCTGAAATAACCGATAAACTCTACTCCGTTTACCGAGACTACCGTGTTGTTAATTTCTTTGTTATTTTATAGTCATTTTTTAACCAGCATTTACTAGCATAAAGTCAACGCCTTCTGTTTAAATTGCTTACAAGAGCGCTTAAACCTCCTCATATATTTAGCCTCTTAGTATTGCTCTCAAAGTGCACCAGATTGATGCTTTGAACTTTAAAATGTACATCATTTTCTTATTGGGGTCCGGGGTCCACCCACTAGTCTCCCAAAATCCTGTCGGGAACACTGTATAGTTTATTAAAAACAACATGAAAATCCTCGATATACAGTACGTTTTGATAGTCTGTTTTACCGTTTAGTCGAAAACAATGAGAATACGGAAATATCGAAATTCAGCTCGTTATTTGACTTTGGTTCTGTGGTTTTTACGTTTTTGAATTCAGAAGCCAAAAACGCAAATACGACGGCCCATTTCCGTTTTTACGATTTTGGTTTGAAACGAAAAACGAGAAAACCATGGTACCGTATTGTCGTTTTTTCGACTGAACGGTAAAACAGACTATCAAAACGTACACGGACCCAGCTGCTAATATGTTCACCGTTTTCCTTCTGCATTCATCCACCAAGGACTTGGTTCGGTTGTATTCATTTATTATAAGTTCCCCACCAGATTTCTTGGTAACAATGGATTCCACCAACTTAAACACAATGAAGAACAATTCACTATGTTAGGAATATATCCATTGCAATTCATAGTTGACTAGAAGTCACCAGAAACCCAAACAATGTAATGTAGGGTCTTCTGTACATTAGTAAGCACCAAAGTATTTAAAATTAGTTTTGGATAAAACTTTTTTTATACTTTTGTAATACTTTTTAGAAACCTACTATTATGTACAAGAGACCCTAAATGACATGATTAGAAGGCTGTTGTGGATTTGAGTTTCCAGAGGCTTTAAATGCTGGAAATAAAGAAACATGACTTCAGCAATGCCTTCAGACCATGCAATATAAAATCTCCAAGTCTGCCATCTTCATCAGGAACAGATGTGTCACAATAAAGTATTGGTGTTTGTGAGTCAACGCTCACGTGCTTAGCCTCTGTATCCAGCCTCTGGTGTTTTCCAGAAGGGCTTTCTGAAATGATGGCTGTATCCTGCGAGTCTGATGAATCAAGGGATGATGGTTGGGACTGCTCAGAAGATGCTGCCGTGGAGACAGACTGTAGCCATGATTGGAGAAGCAAGAGGGAGATGAAAATGTTATACACAGTCCCCACTAATGTGTCCCTTATCTAATGAACAACATAAGCTTCACATGACAAAGAACTTATCAATTAAATAATATGCATTACAAATGTAACTGAAGCAAACCTGTGTCATATGTGATGGTTAGCAGCCCAGTTGATGGATCCTTTACTATGTCCTCAAAAACATCGTCGTCCAACTCAGTTCCCCAACTGTCAACAACTTTCACCCCTTCGGTTACGGCTGCAACGATATTCAGATCTACAGAGTGGCCGTCTGAAATCACGGTTAGCGGCTTTGTGGATGACGGACACAAAACGGAGGACTTAACTTTTCTTCTTATTGTTTATTCTTATTATTTTTTAACTATTGTGAAGTTCACACACAAACTATAAAGGAACAAAAGCAGTAATTGCTCTCCAGTAGGACAGAGACTTCAGCCTCCAGCAGAGCTACGAGTGAGAACAGACAACAAAACCGAGGAAACGAGTGAGACGTGTGTTGACCACATTTATGGACCCATAGTCTAGTAAACCTTTATGTGTAAGTGTTCATTTTAAAGTCAATTTGATATGTGAGAGAGAGAGAGAGAGATAAAGACCTGCAGTGCTGTAACTAAGTTTGAAAAATAAAACTTCCCACGAAATTTGTCTGTTTGAGTTCATAGAGGAAGATTTTAGAGAAGATCTTAAGTATCAAACACGACCTTTCATTATTAAAGACTACTTTATTACTCTGTTGTATTGTTTCTAACTAAGCAACCAATCTACTTCCTGTTTACATCGGCACCATCACGCCCAGTGTACGTGACTAGTCACGTGATGTTCATTTTCAGGCATGTTAGTCTGGACGGAGATCATTTAGAAAACGATGATGAAACGTGTGGACGGAGAACGTTTTTGTGTTAAAACTCAGTTTTAAAAAGAAAACATATTAGTGTGGATGTAGACTCAGGAAGCCGCAACAGAGGGGTTGAAGAGTCGCATGCTCCAATTGTGGTGGAAAAAAGATATCCCGTACCTGCCTTGCATGAGTCTTTTGATGCTGACATAAAGAATACCAAAGACCAGAGGTTCCCTTCTGTATATCTATTTTCTGCGCAGAAAAGGTTCAATCATCACAACAGAATGCGTACAGTCTCAGTGAGGAAGAACCAAGAAACAAGTGAACAAGCTTTGTTTATACAGAATGAGCAAAGGTGGGAGCCGATGGCCAATGTTAGAGACATTTTGGTCTCAGAATTTTGGTCTCAGACTGATAGAAACAACAATGAAAAACAAACGGCCAGCAACCAAAACAAGCGGGCCAAAGGCCTTGGCGGTGGAACATCCTCATACAACACAACTCCGGAGCCGCGCGTTGCCGACCCCTGAGCTAACATTAGCTAATGTAGCAAACTCCCCACACATACAGTCTTGGCTATTTTACTGAACCCATGGACGTTACAAAGAATAAAACACAATCACCCTCCACACTGTATTCACATTAACGTTGCTGTCGAGTTTGAGTTAGCTAGCTTGTTAGCCTTAATTGGCTTAACGTTGACCTCACATAAGCTAGTCACCAACTTGGTCATGTTTGACTTTTGTAATTCAGCATTTTAAAATGCAAAGACAGCTGGAATATGGTGAACCAACAATATAAAGTTATTATAAGCTGTTGCTTCTGTTGAAATGCCAAATAATTGTTTTAATAGGTGACTAAAAGACGTTTAGAAAATGGCGTCGTGAAAAATCTAGGTGGGTTAGAAATGAGGTGAGGAGGTGGGCGGGGTTTCTCAGAGTACTTCTGACACCACCTGTTTTAAATATGTACATATTCACCAACACTAGGGGGCATCTTACTCAAGGTGTTGTTGAAATAACTCTGAAAGAGTCCATAGACTTTGACACTGCATATGTAACACTGGGGGATTTACTGTGTAGGAGAGCTAATATCCATTAGCTACAACATATTTCGTAGCATCTGTGGTAATGTCTCTGAGCAAACCAGACGGACGCTTGCGTCTCCCAAAACTCCGGCAGCTTGAGCTGAACTGCGTGCGCGATCATGTTCGTCTCTGGAAACGTCCAGAAGACTCAGGGTCACCAATGTAGGAGCGCCGGAATAAACAAGTACAGCAAACTTCTTTGTGGCTGCACACCACCAAAAACATGACATCCTGAAACACTAAATATACTTAGTAACATTACACCATTGATGGAACAAGAGCACAAAGTTCATCACAGATCTAGCGTCTTATTTTTGCTCTCAAAGTTCACCAGATTGATGCATTTTACTTTAAAACGTACAAACTTTTCTTCCACAGTCCCACAAAACCCTGTGGGGAACGCTGTCTCGTATTGTGCACCATTAAAGATTACAATAAGTCATGTGAGACATCTGTTGAAGAGATTCCCCATCATCATCATCATCATCACTCCACAGTTCTTGGTTCATCTTCAGCTGAAGTTCAGCTCACAGTCCACCTCACAGAGAGCAGCGATCAGAACTGAGCAGGCTTCAGGTCCCTTTCTTTTCACCGTGTCAATCACGTCTCGTGCTTTATCTTCTCTGTGTTTTGTTCTTAACCACTGCATTTCAGCGTCAGTAATCACTCCGCGCTCAAGAAGTTTATCCAGCAGGCGGTCCAGGACAGGATCAGACACTCTGATGATAAATTGAGTCCGAACTGAGAACAGCTTCTGGTCTGCCGGGACCCTGTCCTCTGCCGGGACATTTCTCTGTTGAATTACCGCTCTTGCACCTGGAAGATAACCAAGAAAATATTGTAAAGTTCAAAAGAAATGAAAAGTCTGTTTTGGACTGCTACAGCAAGCTATTTCTCACATTTCTGCTATGTAAATCACTTCCTGTGTTCTCCTTTAAGAAAAAGGATAGAATGTATACATACATACACATATATATACACACATATACGTAGACAGCTTTTGTTCAGCTGCCCTCCTTACTCTAACCTGCACACAAAACTAGAAGATATCATTTCATGACTATTTCAAAAACTGCCGTAAGACTGTTGGAAATACATCTCTGCTTCGTACCTGCAGGCAATGAATCACATCAGCAGAGGACAGGAGCAATGACTGATAATGACGTCTGTGGTCTTCATTCTTGATAAACTTCATTCAGGTATGCCTTTTATTTTGTCATTTTGGATCCGTTTCCAGTGAGTCATTAATGAGTTTATATCGTGACATTGATATTGCAAGCATTATTGTTGCTGCAATTTTCCGCGCAATATGGCATCTTCCAATTAAAAGTCAAGCAGGAAAATATTGTCCATAACTTGAGACTATGTTTGAGCACCAAGCATCATTGATGCAAAAAGTGTCCGCCTCCTCTTGTTCTACTGGAGTCCTGCGCTTTGTCCTGCTGTACGCTTGTCAAGTGCAGCTTGATCCGGGACACCACGATGGAGCCAGGTCTCTGAACAGTCACCAACCTCCTGTTGCTAGGTTAGCGTGAAATATCCTGCGACCGGACATAAACTAGGAAAGATTAAGTGGTAGAATAGCTTTAGGTCCTAGCTGGGTTAGCTTGGCTACCATCTCGGTACTCCTCTCGACTCGCTTTCAGTGGGCGTTAGGTCGGGCAGGTCTGGCGCAGTGATCGGCCGTGGGCAGTCAACACACATGCATACAATTAACACAACGTGCGGGCCACCTCCACTTTGCCA